CGTGTATTTGTGTGCCCGTGGAAACTGTTTATGCTGGCGAAATTACCGGGGGTGAATGCGCCTGTCATGGAGATGAATGTGAACTCTTCCGAAAGCACTTCACAACATCGCCAGCACTTATACGACAGACATATATATCTTGGTATATACAAAATATAATATATAAATATAAATATGCATCCTTATAGACAAATATAATATATATATATATATATAAATGCATCCTTATACACAAATATATAATATATATATATAAATAAGCATCCTTATAGACAAATAAATAATATATATATAAATACGCATCCTTATAGACAAATACATAATATATATATATATATATATATAATATATATATATATAAATATATATATAAATATGCATCCTTATAGACAAATACGTAATACATATATATATATAAACATATGATACATATATATATAAATATGCATCCGTATGCAGAAGCACCTGAGGTCGATACGCCCGTCAAGGACAGCGATGTGAAGACGTCAGATAGTTCTGCACAGCATCGCAAGCAGTTGTATGAGAGACTGAGCTCTGTAGTAGCAGCCAATGCGTCTGCGATGGGTAAACAATGGCTGGCGGTCGATCTAGTGGATGAGTCTGTTGAGGTATGTGCTGTATACGTACTCGGTGCATACAGTGAGACATGTGTGCCAAATGCAATGATCATATATATAAATATATATTTATATATGTGTGTATGCCTGTGTATGCTTGTGTTCTCCCTAGCCTTCCCATACCACGATGTGTCGTATGGTAATCCAGAGTCCATCCAGGGGCGAATGCTGAGTACATGCACGTGTCTGCGAGTGCTACATCAGGTTGTTTGTGTGCAACCCCTACAGGCCATGTACCCACCAGCCAATTGTTGCAGATAGTTACTTGTGCCTGGAAGAACCCTCTAGCGATGTAGGACGAGTTGTACGTGCATATGCTGATATATACCTTTGGTCCCTGTCGCACCTGGTAACTCTGGTTACTACGCTAACTCTTTATAACGGTATACTTACCGACTACGATATTCCTACCTAGAACGATATACCTACCTAGAAAGATATACGTACCTACAACGATTTCCTACCTAGAAAGATATACGTACCTACAACGATATACCTACCTACAACATATTTACTGGCAAAATAATACGATTGTATGCAATGTCTAAAACAAATCCATAGACACACTAACACACTTATGCTACTTCTGGTTTCACAGGCGTCTGCGGATACTGCACCTGCGCCTTACAACGATATTCCTACCTACCATGTGCCCATCACCAAAATCGTTCGCTTAAGTGGGGAACGTGCGGCGAAGCATGCGGGTTTGGTGGAGTTAGATCTCACGGATAGTAAAGATTTGCAGTTCCAGGCGGGCGATGCGTTTGGCATCTTTCCCCAGAATGATCCCGAGTATGTTTTTGCCTATATATGCAGGTT